CCACTGCAGTGAGTGTAAAAATTCACGTGCTGTGGGATAAAGGTGTTTGTCAGCTCTTGTCTGTCTCGCTGGTGCTGAGCCTGCTGAAATGCTCGGTCTGCTCATGGTTCCAGTGCATTGTTCTCTCAGCTGCTCTGCAACTCCTGGGTGTTTGCACCATTGCTCTTGGTGAATTGTGTAAAAGTGAGAATGAGAAACAAACATAAGAATATAATCTCCCCACAATCTCAACTGAGTTGAATGAAAAGCATGTCAAAAGCTAATCCTCCTGTAAACAATCACTTCATTAAAATGGTTGCATATTGCACAGGTTTACTCAGTGGAGAACTTTTAATTCTTTAATGTAGGAGAATAGTTTGCAAAGCTAGTGCAGGAGGCATCTTCCTCAATGAATTACAGCTGTACTGATTGCTGAGAAGTGGAGGTAGCCTTGCCTGCCCAATGATGGGAGTTATAAAAGAGTGGGTCAGCTAGCTGGGAGTAAGTTGCAGTTGGAGTTTGTTTGGGATGGAGTCTGCTGGCTTTGAGCAGGACACCCAGCCATGCAAGGGACAGACAGTGTAAGGTGATGCTGTGTCAGGGACACGGTTAGGTGGTGGGTAAGGGACAAGTTGGGGTTAGGTGGTCATGCAGAAGGAAGCTTGCAGAGAGGAGGAGAGAAGGAGTCAGTGCTGTGTGGAGTTGCCTGAGAGAAGGTGTGAGTAGTTTTTAATAAGGGACTGGTGATGATGCCAGTCATGTTTGTCTTGACATAATTGCCACAAATATTCTGTATGAATCTCGTTTTTCCCCACTAAAAATGGGTTTTAAATACATATTGTTAGAATGATGTGCAGTGAATTAAAGGCAAAACCAAGAACACCAAAGCATGCAGACCCATTCTGTCACTAGCTGGCTACATATACTTTTAGAAAGTGTTTTATTGCCAGTTCAGACATAAGGATTTCCTTTTCATTGCAGAGAGAGCTTTGAACAATTCCTCTCTTTCTCCAAAGAAAATGTTGACAATAGAATCTTTCATCTAAAACTAATGCACATGACAAATTTAATTTATGTAAATAATTCTGCTAGACTCACTAAGACCCATCACAGGAAGTTAAACATGAATAACTATCTCTCAAGTAAAGACCATGCACGTGGTAGGTATAGTGATACAATCCAAAAATTCACCTAGATAAAGTTCTCTCTTCAAAAGATGTGATGAAAATGCTGTCTTAGCCAAAGATCATGTGGGTTTTTTTTACTAACATTTGAAAAAAATTACATGCACTCAAGTTCAAATCTTGTAAAAGCAAGATTTATCTAGACAGCTGAATGCTGTTAAAAGTGTCCATGTTGTAATAAAATAGTAATGATTTATCACATTTTTTATATCCTCATAATTTGTGTACAGTTTAATATTATGTTATTTTAGGAAATATCCCTGCATAATTCCAGTTTGCTATTCCAGTGCTATATTGCTATTGTCAAACCTTTTTCAACAATCCACTCGTGGTGCAAGTTTTCCAGGTGCTGACTTTCTTGAATACGATTGATTAAACTTTGAGCACAGAAACCTGTGTGAACTTTGGGTCTTCAGTGATCTTTAGAAATAACCTTTAGACCTCAAGTTCTTGTAGGGAAAAAAAGGTTTTACTTAATAGGGTCATCTAGTTCAGGAGTTCTCTTGCGCTTGACAAAGGTCATAAAATAGACAAGCACATTTCTTTTCAGAAGTACTTACAGTCCTATTAGTAATGCTTTGATTCCTACTGCTTCTTGTCCTGTTCAGTTAATTAATATCATTCTGTAGTGGAGTGGGCTTGTTCAAAAGCTGAAAACTCTTTAACTCCCCCACTGTTAGGAAATCATATTAAAATTTTTATTTGAGAGTGACCTTGCTGCTTTCTTTTGTTGATACATTAATACCACTAAACCAGTATTAGGGAGAGAATGAGTTGTATGTCCTGCTAGTGATGATAATATTTTGTTTTACTGTTTGAATTGTGATGTTGCTTACACAAAAAGGCTCTTGAATGTGATTTTACCTAATTAAATCAGTTGATGGGGTAATTAATACAAGAACTCTCTGGATTTGGTATTTGGAATGTGACCTAGCAGTCCCTTGTATCATCCAAGAGCACTCTTGATGAAAAGCCACTAGTATGAACACCAAAGACAAAAAAATATGAGCTTTGCCTTATACTTTCAACTACTCAAAGTGGGGCTGTTGAACAGTGGTTTTCCACAACAACAATATTCTGTTTCCATACTGCAGTTTCTCCTACATGCTATTAAATTTATGACAGACTATTAGCATTAATTTGAACTTTTGGAAGGACTTTCATTTAAATAACTAATTACCTAAAAAGAAATTTCATGATGCTTATGCTTTCTTTTGCTCTCATAAATAGTGTTAAGAAACTGCTGTTCTGCTGGTACTGTCCACATTAGAATGATGATTAGCACAGTGTTACTGCCTCTTTGGCTGTAGCTGTTTGGAGGTTGTTTCTGCCATATGAACATGCTATGTACAACAGAAGGCAGTTTTTGAGTATTTTTCTGTTTTCACTAATGGTTGATATTGCTGCAAGTAAATGAGTTTAACAAAAGCTGGTATATATGAAAGATGATAAAAGCAGCTGGAATTGGAGGTGCTGAGTGAGAGACTAGGTTTTATTGGTTTCTACAGGATTTTTGTATGATTCTTTTTAAGAACGCTTACCACACGCTTTGTTTAGTTCAAAAAGACAATACAATGGGCCACAATCCCCTTCAGGAAGAGAGGTGTCACTTTAGGCCATTATGTGCATCTTTGCTCTTCTGATAATTTAGCTTTATGCTCTTTTAAGTTTCAATGTTCTCAAAGTCAAGAAAGAGAGGCAGACACTGAATTACTGTACACAGATACTGATATATAATAAATTAATAAATACTCCCCACATCTTTGCAATTTCTCCTTCCTTGTGTTTGGGTATCAGACTGTGTAGATGTCCACCACACCCCATTCATCTCCTGAGCTGTCAGTAGTGTTTTCAGTCCTTTTTCTCTTTTCACTTGTTCAATCAGTTTTGTTATTGTTCTGTGACTTCCCTCTTTGTCTGTATAGTTGTGATATTATCTGTTGAAGTCCTAGGTGGTAGCTCAACTGTGATTTTCAGTTGGAGAGGGGAAGAAAAAAGTGCAGTTAATACCTGTCTTTTATGATAGCTCCATGTGTGGCATAAAAAGCAGGTATCTTTTTTTAAATTTATTTTTCTATTTCTGCCATGTTTGTGGGCAAACTTCTTAATTTGTTTCTGTGTTGCAGCTCTCAATGAACTATGGATGTTTTGGTGAATAAACAGTAGTCTTGATTTACCAAGAAGGATTTTAAAATGTTAAAAAAACTTTGGAAAGAACTTAGTTTTTAATTTTGCACTGTAGGATTTCAATAAAATTATTCCAGTCTTATTCAGATACCATAAAGAAATTAAATTCATATTTCCTTACCAGTGTTTCAGGGAATTTCACAGGATGTCTGCTCACACTCCTTTTGTATCTAACCACATACCACATGTAAAGGGAATGAACATCTTAAACTGCAATATGTCAGCTGTTACCAGGCTTCCCTGAAAAATGATTAACCACTCTTTGTACTTAAATTGTTATTTTGAACTAAAAGGTATTTCAAGTTGCTTGATGTTATTAAGTTCGTATGTAAGACAAACTGCAGAACTCAAAACACAATTTCTGAGCGGACCCCCAACACAGTCGTTCCGTATGTACAGTCTTAGTGGAGCAGGTTTTTTGTCTTTTTTTTCAGATTCTCATGGATGTCTGCCTAGCACACCTTTCTACTTGAGAAGTGGGACACTGAATAGGGATTAAGAGGAAGTGCACAGCAGGGGCAGGTGTGGTTGGGGGTCTGGTTGGTGTTTCCTGTAGCCCCTGAGTGCCCCTTCAGCTGTGCTCAGTGAGTGGGGCTTAAAGGAAGGATTCTGGAGATTTCAGTTTTCTAGACATGGTCTATCAGCCTAGACACAGGCCTGGGTCAAGTCTGATTTGTACCAGCTCTTGGGCTGCTCAGCAGAAAATCAGGTGAAAGTTGACATTTTGCTGATTTCTCATGAGGTTTGGGTGGGAGTTTTTTTTGCTTGTGGTTTTCGTGTATTTTCCCCTGTGAGTATTATCAGAGGAAATACATATTTTCATTAACGGGTCACACTTCCTTCTGTGTTCACGATGCATTTGGGAATAGCAGCCTTCATCTAAATGCCTTGTCCTCCACGGGTTTGGTTATCTGAGCTGTGCTCTCTCTGTGGATGCACTGCTGTGGGAGCTCACAGGCTTTAGGCTTTACTGGGTGGGATGCTGCACCATCCCACTGAAGAAGCCTCAGCTGTGGAATTTGTTTACTCTGTAATGTCATTGACTTTGGAGGCTTGCTCAAAAGATTCCTTCTCTCCGAGGGGTTATAGGAAGTTGAAGTTTGTTTGCATTGTGATTGAGAGCTCTTTATTTGATACTTTTAAAATACTGTAGTAAATTCTCTTGTGCTGGGCATGTTTTATACTTGAATGAGACTTTGTTGCACAGGGTCACATCATCCTGTACTTTCAGTGGTTTCACAAAACCAAAAATCACAGCATCATTTTAAGCAAACTGTGATTTGTGGCTTAATTCAGATGGAGGAATCGAAAAGAAAATTGGAGGAATTACTTTTGTCAATTAGAAAAACTTATTCTTTTAGGTTTGTCTGCACTGTAAAGGAAGGGTGTCCAGGAGAGAGTGGAATCAATGGCTCATTGACTGTCCGTGCTTCTCCGTTGTTAGCATCTCCTTGGCTGCTTTTGGAGCTGGTGTATGGGTGAGGTTGGTTGGTTTGTTTCCAGTGCAGAGTGAATGAAATCGTGTTCAGCCTGTGCTGCAGCCCGCCAGGGAAGCACATTTGTGCTGTGAAACTGTGTGCATGGATTAAATGCTTGAGGATGTCAGTGCAAGTCAAGAGAAGGCGTTTGAATGATGTCCCTTCAGAGCAGGAGCAGTGCTGGAGGGCTCCATGGGGCCAGGAAGGGACCTGGGTTGAGTTAACATCTTCTGAACAGCCTCCCTGGGGTAATCTGTCCCCCAGAGTGTCTTGGGAGAAGGAGTTGCAGGGATGTACAATTTCAGAGGGTCAGCTGCAGTAACCAAATGGTTCCTAACGTGTCTGATCAGCAGAGTGGTACTGACAAGTAAATTGCTCCCCTGAACATTTTAGTTGTATCCTGTCAGAGCTGGGACTGAAAGTACCTTGATTGGAATTTTCAGTTACTTGGGCTTGAATCATTAATATATTATCATATACGTAAGCAGCATGCAAACTGCTTTCAAATAAATAGTTATTAGAAGGCATCTCTGGGAAACTTCCTCCTTAATAAAACCAAAACAAAAANATGCTGAAAAGATCTTACTAAGGAAACAAAAGGTAATATAAGAAGTGTAATAGAAATGTAATGATGACTCAGGAAATTTTACTCTTTTTACAAAGTGACTTACAAGTAAGTTATAATAAAATCTGAATTAGGAAAGGTGAATTCTTTCGTAAAAAAAATTAAAAGCTAATCATTTATTTAGTAGTCTTGTTAAAGTTCTTGAACTTAAAAATTGAAAATTTATTTGTAGAACAAAGCCTCCTGACTGTATTGTAAAAACCAGGTTTGACCCACCTGTGGAGCTGTAAGGCATTTGGGGTGCTTGTGATCATTTGGCTGAGCAGTGGAGTTATGCTGACCTTGCTGTGAATCACCGTGGTAAATCACTTACAGAACCATTTTTGAAGTGGGAAACCTAAAAGAACTTATTCCCACTGCAGTGAGTGTAAAAATTCACGTGCTGTGGGATAAAGGTGTTTGTCAGCTCTTGTCTGTCTCGCTGGTGCTGAGCCTGCTGAAATGCTCGGTCTGCTCATGGTTCCAGTGCATTGTTCTCTCAGCTGCTCTGCAACTCCTGGGTGTTTGCACCATTGCTCTTGGTGAATTGTGTAAAAGTGAGAATGAGAAACAAACATAAGAATATAATCTCCCCACAATCTCAACTGAGTTGAATGAAAAGCATGTCAAAAGCTAATCCTCCTGTAAACAATCACTTCATTAAAATGGTTGCATATTGCACAGGTTTACTCAATGGAAAACTTTTAATTCTTCAATGTAGGAGAATAGTTTGCAAAGCTAGTGCAGGAGGCATCTTCCTCAATGAATTACAGCTGTACTGATTGCTGAGAAGTGGAGGTAGCCTTGCCTGCCCAATGATGGGAGTTATAAAAGAGTGGGTCAGCTAGCTGGGAGTAAGTTGCAGTTGGAGTTTGTTTGGGATGGAGTCTGCTGGCTTTGAGCAGGACACCCAGCCATGCAAGGGACAGACAGTGTAAGGTGATGCTGTGTCAGGGACACGGTTAGGTGGTGGGTAAGGGACAAGTTGGGGTTAGGTGGTCATGCAGAAGGAAGCTTGCAGAGAGGAGGAGAGAAGGAGTCAGTGCTGTGTGGAGTTGCCTGAGAGAAGGTGTGAGTAGTTTTTAATAAGGGACTGGTGATGATGCCAGTCATGTTTGTCTTGACATAATTGCCACAAATATTCTGTATGAATCTCGTTTTTCCCCACTAAAAATGGGTTTTTAAATACATATTGTTAGAATGATGTGCAGTGAATTAAAGGCAAAACCAAGAACACCAAAGCATGCAGACCCATTCTGTCACTAGCTGGCTACATATACTTTTAGAAAGTGTTTTATTGCCAGTTCAGACATAAGGATTTCCTTTTCATTGCAGAGAGAGCTTTGAACAATTCCTCTCTTTCTCCAAAGAAAATGTTGACAATAGAATCTTTCATCTAAAACTAATGCACATGACAAATTTAATTTATGTAAATAATTCTGCTAGACTCACTAAGACCCATCACAGGAAGTTAAACATGAATAACTATCTCTCAAGTAAAGACCATGCACGTGGTAGGTATAGTGATACAATCCAAAAATTCACCTAGATAAAGTTCTCTCTTCAAAAGATGTGATGAAAATGCTGTCTTAGCCAAAGATCATGTGGGTTTTTTTTACTAACATTTGAAAAAAATTACATGCACTCAAGTTCAAATCTTGTAAAAGCAAGATTTATCTAGACAGCTGAATGCTGTTAAAAGTGTCCATGTTGTAATAAAATAGTAATGATTTATCACATTTTTTATATCCTCATAATTTGTGTACAGTTTAATATTATGTTATTTTAGGAAATATCACTGCATAATTCCAGTTTGCTATTCCAGTGCTATATTGCTATTGTCAAACCTTTTTCAACAATCCACTCGTGGTGCAAGTTTTCCAGGTGCTGACTTTCTTGAATACGATTGATTAAACTTTGAGCACAGAAACCTGTGTGAACTTTGGGTCTTCAGTGATCTTTAGAAATAACCTTTAGACCTCAAGTTCTTGTAGGGAAAAAAAGGTTTTACTTAATAGGGTCATCTAGTTCAGGAGTTCTCTTGTGCTTGACAAAGGTCATAAAATAGACAAGCACATTTCTTTTCAGAAGTACTTACAGTCCTATTAGTAATGCTTTGATTCCTACTGCTTCTTGTCCTGTTCAGTTAATTAATATCATTCTGTAGTGGAGTGGGCTTGTTCAAAAGCTGAAAACTCTTTAACTCCCCCACTGTTAGGAAATCATATTAAAATTTTTATTTGAGAGTGACCTTGCTGCTTTCTTTTGTTGATACATTAATACCACTAAACCAGTATTAGGGAGAGAATGAGTTGTATGTCCTGCTAGTGATGATAATATTTTGTTTTACTGTTTGAATTGTGATGTTGCTTACACAAAAAGGCTCTTGAATGTGATTTTACCTAATTAAATCAGTTGATGGGGTAATTAATACAAGAACTCTCTGGATTTGGTATTTGGAATGTGACCTAGCAGTCCCTTGTATCATCCAAGAGCACTCTTGATGAAAAGCCACTAGTATGAACACCAAAGACAAAAAAATATGAGCTTTGCCTTATACTTTCAACTACTCAAAGTGGGGCTGTTGAACAGTGGTTTTCCACAACAACAATATTCTGTTTCCATACTGCAGTTTCTCCTACATGCTATTAAATTTATGACAGACTATTAGCATTAATTTGAACTTTTGGAAGGACTTTCATTTAAATAACTAATTACCTAAAAAGAAATTTCATGATGCTTATGCTTTCTTTTGCTCTCATAAATAGTGTTAAGAAACTGCTGTTCTGCTGGTACTGTCCACATTAGAATGATGATTAGCACAGTGTTACTGCCTCTTTGGCTGTAGCTGTTTGGAGGTTGTTTCTGCCATATGAACATGCTATGTACAACAGAAGGCAGTTTTTGAGTATTTTTCTGTTTTCACTAATGGTTGGTATTGCTGCAAGTAAATGAGTTTAACAAAAGCTGGTATATATGAAAGATAATGATAAAAGCAGCTGGAATTGGAGGTGCTGAGTGAGAGACTAGGTTTTATTGCTTTCTACAGGATTTTTGTATGATTCTTTTTAAGAACGCTGACCACACGCTTTGTTTAGTTCAAAAAGACAATACAATGGGCCACAATCCCCTTCAGGAAGAGAGGTGTCACTTTAGGCCATTATGTGCATCTTTGCTCTTCTGATAATTTAGCTTTATGCTCTTTTAAGTTTCAATGTTCTCAAAGTCAAGAAAGAGAGGCAGACACTGAATTACTGTACACAGATACTGATATATAATAAATTAATAAATACTCCCCACATCTTTGCAATTTCTCCTTCCTTGTGTTTGGGTATCAGACTGTGTAGATGTCCACCACACCCCATTCATCTCCTGAGCTGTCAGTAGTGTTTTCAGTCCTTTTTCTCTTTTCACTTGTTCAATCAGTTTTGTTATTGTTCTGTGACTTCCCTCTTTGTCTGTATAGTTGTGATATTATCTGTTGAAGTCCTAGGTGGTAGCTCAACTGTGATTTTCAGTTGGAGAGGGGAAGAAAAAAGTGCAGTTAATACCTGTCTTTTATGATAGCTCCATGTGTGGCATAAAAAGCAGGTATCTTTTTTTAAATTTATTTTTCTATTTCTGCCATGTTTGTGGGCAAACTTCTTAATTTGTTTCTGTGTTGCAGCTCTCAATGAATTATGGATGTTTTGGTGAATAAACAGTAGTCTTGATTTACCAAGAAGGATTTTAAAATGTTAAAAAAACTTTGGAAAGAACTTAGTTTTTAATTTTGCACTGTAGGATTTCAATAAAATTATTCCAGTCTTATTCAGATACCATAAAGAAATTAAATTCATATTTCCTTACCAGTGTTTCAGGGAATTTCACAGGATGTCTGCTCACACTCCTTTTGTATCTAACCACATACCACATGTAAAGGGAATGAACATCTTAAACTGCAATATGTCAGCTGTTACCAGGCTTCCCTGAAAAATGATTAACCACTCTTTGTACTTAAATTGTTATTTTGAACTAAAAGGTATTTCAAGTTGCTTGATGTTATTAAGTTCGTATGTAAGACAAACTGCAGAACTCAAAACACAATTTCTGAGCAGACCCCCAACACAGTCGTTCCGTATGTACAGTCTTAGTGGAGCAGGTTTTTTGTCTTTTTTTTCAGATTCTCATGGATGTCTGCCTAGCACACCTTTCTACTTGAGAAGTGGGACACTGAATAGGGATTAAGAGGAAGTGCACAGCAGGGGCAGGTGTGGTTGGGGGTCTGGTTGGTGTTTCCTGTAGCCCCTGAGTGCCCCTTCAGCTGTGCTCAGTGAGTGGGGCTTAAAGGAAGGATTCTGGAGATTTCAGTTTTCTAGACATGGTCTATCAGCCTAGACACAGGCCTGGGTCAAGTCTGATTTGTACCAGCTCTTGGGCTGCTCAGCAGAAAATCAGGTGAAAGTTGACATTTTGCTGATTTCTCATGAGGTTTGGGTGGGAGTTTTTTTTGCTTGTGGTTTTCGTGTATTTTCCCCTGTGAGTATTATCAGAGGAAATACATATTTTCATTAACGGGTCACACTTCCTTCTGTGTTCAC